AAGCGTGATTAAGTCAGGCCAACTGAGGAGTGGAATCACATTCTAGAAAGAGAGAACTGTGCCCCCCTTATCTGTCCTGCCAATTTTAAATTCTCCAAGATCAGACACTGAACTTTTTTCCCATAAAATCTCCAGCAGAGCCTGGAAAGGCCCTTGCCTATAGGAATTCGTCAGAAATTGATGAACAAAAAAATGCAAAGAAATGGCAGCTTTTAAAATTGAAGTCTTTAAAACGATAGGGAAACAAGCTCTTTCCGTTCCTGTGTTTTCTGTCCCTTTCTCGGGGTGGTTACCTATTTTGAGTCCCAAGATGATATGGTAATGAAAAACTCTAGCTCTTCACAGACCACCTCTTCTGAGGGCCGAGAGCTCACAAGATGGCTTGGGTGAGGGTTGCTTCAGGACAGCTTCTTACCCCCGAAGCAGGAGAATTCTACCCATGTGGGGTGTGCAGGTCACTTTATCCATCACACCGAAGTTCCTTCCTTAGCCAAAGAAAGGAGTATAGGGTTGAGTCAGACACCCTAACAATCAACTTCTCCTGGACTCATCCTATTTCCTGGAACTTTGGGGCTCCACTACATTTGTTTTAATGAGAAGTTTTTAGTTGCCTCTGGGGTGGGGACAGTGCTCCCCCACGCAGCAAGAACCAGGCCTGTGGAAGTGGCCCCCCTATGCAGTTTGAAGGTGGCAGCTCCACTCACTCTATGCCAAGCATGGACACAGGAATCGTCGCGAAGCTTCCCGGGCAGGCAGGCCAGGGCTCAGGCTCAGCGCGACATCCGGGGCTATTCCAAGTCAGGTTTCTTCCACTCCTGGGCAGCATCTTGGGGGCTCAAGTTCACGGCTGCGAACAGCTGCTGGCGAGTGGGGCTGTTCCCACCCTCCCCTCAATGCAGAGTCTCCGTGGGTAAACCCTTTGAGGGCCCTGGCCTCTCAAAGATGGGTGGGGTTCACTTCAAAGTGGCTGTGAGTTCTCTTCTGCAGCAAGAGAGCTCTAACAGAGGCCTGCCTACCCCGATTTTTCAGGGGTGGGGTGTTGGGAAGGAAGGGGTATCTCTATCTCAACTTACCACGCCCTTCATTTTCAGTTATTGTGAGCTGTTTCATTGCAAGAGAAAGAACAACTTGTAACTGATGGTCAAATATCATTCACTGGTGGTTTTCGTTTTTACACTTGGATGATTAACCCCGAGGACCAAGTCCACATGATTAGTGTTCATCAGTATTCAAACAAACATCTAGCAAATAAATAAAAGCGTATTCTTCACACCTGAGGTCTCAGAGAAGGTGGAGAGAGGGCACTTGGTCCTAAGGGCCTGAGAGGAGAGGTTATCTCCTAAGAGGAGACCTACGATGCAGGAAGTCAATGAAGCTGGGACATGACCCTCTATTGCCAGCTGATCCCAGGAGCTGAGTTCCATCAGCCGGGGCCGGGGCTCTTCCTCCCCACAAGGCTGAAGGCAGGCGGGCAGTCGGTGGTGGGCGGGAGAGCTCCTCTGTTGCTCATTTAGAGAAGGTCCTTTAAAACGGCAAATGATTGTTTGTTTCTGGAGGTCAGGGCAGGGGGTGACATGGAGGATAAAAATACTGTGGTCCCTCGATATCTGTGGGGAGTTGGTTCCAGGACGCCCTCAGATACCAAATCCATGGATGCTCAAGTCCCTGATATAGAAATGATGCATAGCATTTGCATATTACTGACACACATCCTGCCTTAGACATTAAATCATCTTCAGGTTCCTTATAATACATTACACAGTGTAAGTAGTTGGTATACTCTATTGTTTAAGGAATAATAACAAGAGAAAATATCTGTACGTGTTAGCACAGACACAATCTCCTTTCTTCAAATATTGCTTGAATCTACAGAGGTGGAACCCAGGGATCTGGAGGGATGACTGTGCTAGGTAGAAAAGTGACTGGAGCTGGAATGGCCTTGGTCAACTATCCCCCTTAACAAAAAATTGGTGGAGACATAAGGGAAAACTTGTGGCTGATGCAGAATGGTTTTTTAACTGCTAAATTGTAAAGGTGTAAAACGAGTAGTGTTGTAAAATACCCTAAATGCAAAGGGCTGTAGATGGTGAAAGGGGAGAAGATCAACATGGAGCTGTGGGATCAGAGGCATTTCTTTGCAGATGGGACCTGAGTGGGCTGCAGTGTGACAAAGATCTGGATGGATGCATAGGACAACTGTCTGGAGGAATGCAAACGCAGGTGTGTGTGGAGGAATGCAGAAAGAAGCATATGGATCTGGTTCTTGGCTTTGCAAGTCACTCCTTCTTGGAGTCAGTGGCTCCCAAGGTTTCTGGTATCCCAAGCATCTGCTGCTTTTCCTTGCACACACGTGCACTTGCATGGGGATTATCTTCTGTGCCCTGCATCCGGGATGGGGTGGGGAGTGAAGTGTACTGACGTTGACAGTTTCCTTCTGATTTCACCCATTGAGAAAACTGTAAAACCCACTATACATCTGTTAAATATATAATTTTAAAACTGAATTTATGCTTAGATATTTCAAAAATAGAAAAGAAGCACAAAGATGGAAGAAGGGATGGCTTCTAAAGACAATAACTAGCAATGTTTTTAAACTGGGAGGTTTCTGGCAGAGTACAAAGCACAGGACTGAGGTCTCACTGATTCTTGCCAAAGGTCAGCACAGAGTGAATTTTATTTGTCATGATTTTTGTCTTTCAAGCAGCCACCTGAGGGCCAAACTGATGCTCAGGGAGATGGAGTAGCTTCGTCCATCACAGGTGAGGAGCTGTCAAGCTGCGCCATGTCAGGGCACCATCTGCTGCAAGATTGCATCCCTCTGAGTGGCATGAGAGCCACAGCAGGGCCGGCACAAATCCTCCCTCGTTTCACACCCCCATGCTGGTAATGAGCTGACAAGCTGCAGATGGAGCAGGTCAGGAAAGAGAACAAACTTGCCTACCTCCCAAGCAACATACAAAAATGACATCCTTTCTAGATTAGGACCACATTTGCATGCATACAGTTTTGGATAGTCTAATACATCTTTATTAATCTCCAAATATGTATTTTTGGTCAATAACATTATTTTAATAACCATTAAAGATAATCTAGTATTAAATGGTTAATTTTGCTTCCCTTAGATAAAGATAACAGAATTCAAATACGAACTTGCCCCGTCTGGTTGAAGTGTAGTGAGAGCTGACTGTGTGAACTAAATAATGCTTGTCCTGTACAGAATGGAGAAGAAAAGCAAAGTTTTGTTCACCTGGGAGCCCATTTTTTAAAAAATGCATTGATACCTAACTTAAATAATTGAATACATATCATAAACATACAAATTACACCATTTAAAATATACTTACTACAAAAAGATCCTGAATATTTTTGTTAATGCAAATAAAATTTCTTCACATTATTTTAAGAGTCAAAATATTTTACATCAATTTGTGCTTTTAAAACTATTGCTAGCTTCCCCTGGGAAAAGCCAAAATAACTGTATATTGTAGAAAAAAGTTTTTGCACTTTTGACCCAAATACACATATCAACACAAGAAGAGGCACAATAACATCTAATAATTGTTTTACATTTCCCTGAAACAGACAAACAAACAAAACCTAGTTATTCAATGAAATACATTTCTATGGTAATTGCTAATTTGATGTTTTCACACGTGCACAAAAGAACTACTTTTTCTTGGTCACTAACGACAGCAAACCCTAGATGTCTAGGAATATATATATGTGTCATATATATATTTACATACATACATATTTAAGAGAGCATATGAAGAAAATAGGACAGTTTGCACATACATATTCAAAGCCTCTCAGAAATTCCACTTAGGTCCACATTAGTGAGCCTTAATGTATTGCCAGCGTTCTGTGTAAATAACCAGAGAAGTAAAACAAACTTTAGTAGTGGAGTCCCTCCTTATACATTAATAGAAAATCTAGTTATAAGTGGTATGATTCGCTCATAAGAGGTCAGGCGTTCAAGACCAGTCTGGCCAATATGTTGAAAGCTCGTCTTTACTTAACAAAAAATATAAAAATTAGCCAAGAGTGGTGGCACGTTCCTGTAATCCCAGCTATTTGGGAGGCTGAGGCACGAGAATTGCTTGAACCTGGGAGGCAGAGGTTGCAGTGAGCTGAGATTGCACTACTGTACTCCAGCCTGGGTGACAAAGACATGGTCTCAAAAAAAAAAAAGAAGAAAGAAAGAAAGAAAAGAGAAAAATGCTTATCACTTAACCAAATTTTTGCTAAGGAAATGTAAATATAACTGTACCTTCTTCAGGGAATTCAACGTCAGAGTACACTGGCTTAACTGCAGTGACTCACTCGTTTTTCAATGCGGAGGTAATATTCATAGAAAAATCAATATTCCATGTGGAGAAAATGTATTTTTCCTGTGGATGAATTACTGATTAATTGGGTTGGAGTAAACTTTACTTTCTGCAGCTCTAGTATTTATTTGTCAAATGAAGATCCAATCTGGCAATCATCTCTTACAAATGGTCCATCAGATTGGTCAGATAGATTATTCTATAGCTCCAATCCCTCCCAGATAAAGTCATTGATTATCTGTATATACTCAATTGGGGAAGACCCACATCACAAGAGGACAGAGTATGTGATGTAACAGAAACGATTCACACCGCTGTTAATGTGTCATAGACAGTGGGATCCCTGGGGAATTAAAAATAGGACAATTCAGCTAGAATTTTCTCTTTGATCAACTCCAGTTTCTGATTGTGCTCTCAAGCTGAGCCCTTTCTATTTGCATTACAATTTCAATCCTTGGTTGGTGAGAGTTCTTTTTCAATGTTTGTACTTCAGTTTTGTAGATAACTGAGGTTGCAGATATGGAGTTTATACTGTCAAAACAATCATCAAATCATCAAAATAATCATAATTTTGAGTCAAGATTGGAACAAGAGGAGTTAAGCATTATGGTTGTTTGAGGGTCTGTTAATGCTTCTCTGATTCCCTTCCACTTTCGTGGTTTTCCCATATGCTGGACGCGTGTATAATAACACTTACCTCATATGCCTCTTGATGGAATGAAGCCTGTATCGTGCATTTTTCTTTGGAGAAAGATTACAATTATGGCATTTGAAATCCAAGTATATATCTAGGGAATGTGGGAATTACTTGTCATTATGTAATTTCTTATGAAAGCCTTGTCTAAAATAGCAGATTGCAGAACAGAAAAAATCGGGTGCAATTGCAGGAAATGAGACTGAAAAATAATTCAGAGTTAGTTTATGAAGGGCCTGAATGCCATCCAAAGGAGTCTGCGTTTATTCTGTATTTTTCTGAAATATATCTCACAGAACACTTGTGCTACCGGATGTTAATATGTCTAGGGCAGGCTAGATTAAGTCTAAGTTTTAGTAGTCCTTAAATATGCTAATATGCATCGTGATTCTCTAAGGGAGGGTTTTTTGTTTTTTGTTTTTTTTCTCAAACTAAACAATATAACTTGGTAATAGGCAGACAGGGAATATGAAGAATATTCCAGCTTGGCACCTTCAGGTCAGTTAAGTCCAATATTCTGGGTACCTTCAAGATGCCAGATAGTCATTCCTTTGTATCATATGTATCCAGCACACAGCAGATTGTGTATCCAGCACACGGCAGGGCTTAGTAAACAAATGGAGTGAATGAAATATCCGAATAGTCCTCAGTTGCCTTACTTATAAAATGGGAAAACAATCATATAATTGTTGAAAGGTTGAAGAGTTGGAGAAAAGTGGTCCCAGAATATTTCACAATCAAGTACTATTTTTTAGTTCAAATCAAATTAAAACAGATTTACAAATGAAAACATAAAAGGAAAAATAGGTAAGAGACTACTATTGAATTACTGTCTAGCTGTGTAATCTTTGCTTAACTTTTCCGAAGCTCGTTTGTAAAGCGGATAATCACACTTACCTTGAAAGGCTCTAATACTCTGCCAAGCACATGAGCTGGGCCCAGGGGTGGGAGTATATGGTGTTGTGGTTAAGAGCAGAGGCTAGGAGCCAGACCTGAGTTTGAATCCCAGCTCTGCCTCTGACTAAATGTGTGATACCTACTATGTGTGTAACCTTAAGCAATTTAATTTCTTTCTGCCTCAGCTTTCCTCATCTGCAAAATGGGAACAATAAGTATACTTATCTCGGAGGGCTGTGGTGAGGACTGCATATAAACTAATGAATGTTGTATATTAATAAAAGTTCACAGCTATTCTTATTTCAGATTTTCTATGTAATCTGAAAGAGATGCTGAGGCCTGCCCTAATTTGTTCTTAGACTGCAACTGCTTGACTGGCAGTTGGTTCCCATTTCCTCCTTCCTCCCAAACTGGGTGTTCACAGCTCACATTTAACCTGTGCCCGCCCCCACCAAGTCCAACTCCCGAGTTAGACCTTCTGTTCTCCTCCAAACCCCTATATATGTACATATATATGTAGTAATTTAATTTAAAAATTCACCAGTGCTTTTTTTTTTTTTTGGTCATTAATATTCAGGGGCATTCATGTTCCTAGCTGGTTTATATTTGGATTGTTTTTTTCTCTGGATTATTCCAAATTTTTGCCTATTGAGTTGATGGCCACTTAAAAGACAGAGAAATTCTTGGCATGTAGAATTTGGAAGGAAATAGAAAGGCAAACAAGAAATAAGGATGAGCACTATTCTGCACGGAGATCTGTGATGAGAAAAGAGAACCAAACCAAACTCCAAGATGTTTGTGTAGCTAGTTTGTTAGTTACTTTGATATGCTGGTGTCATATCATCACTATGCTGGCAATTGGAAACAATTTAAATAGGTGCTTGAATTATTCCCACTGTAACATTATTTTGATTCCATCCTTTGTCCACGTTAATGCACTTCCCCCAAATCTTTTGAAGATTCCATGGAATTCCTCAAATAGACAGTGAGGCATCAGGAAGCCAACAAAGTTTTGTTTTGTTTTGTTTTGTCTGAGATGGAGTTTCACTCTTGTTGCCCAGGCTGGAGTGCAATGGCACAATCTTGGCTCACTGCAATCGCCACCTCCCAGGTTCAAGGGACTCTCCTGCCTCAGCCTCCAAAGTAGCTGAGATTACAGGCGTGCACCACCAACCCGGCTAATTTTTTGTATTTAATAAAGACGGGGTTTCACCATGTTGGTCAGGCTGGTCTCAAACTCCTGACCTCAGTTGATCCACCCACCTCGGCCTCCTGAAGTGCTGAGATTACAGGCATGAGCCATCGTGCCCAGCTGCCAACCAAGTTTTTAAGAATCCTCCAATAATCCCCCAAACTCTCCCTTCTCTTTCAGATAGTGGGACTCTGTGCTCATGCCAGTAAGTAAAGAAGAAGGAATAAGACAGACACTGTGTGATCTAGTATTAATAAGGAAGTAAGTGATCAAATTACTCCAGCTAGATCGGTAGAATCTATTATCAAGCACGTTGAGGCCGATAGCATTCACAAATCAAGTGTCTACGTTTATACTCACTGATGACTCGTGTTTCCTTTCGAGGACAAGTAAGCTTTTTAAATCATCAAGACGTTTACATTAGTTTTGCTCTTCAATGGCCTTTTTAAAAAAAAAAATCCAAAGGCAGAAGTTAAATTTAAAAGAGCTTTCCATGTGACTACCCCAAAGAGAGATTATCAATCACCAAGTTAAATATTTGTATACAAAATAATATCTGGATGCGTAGATTCTTACGTTCATCAGATGAAGAGTGAAAGAGTTATTAGTCACCATGCTTTATTTACACCCCTGTCAAAATTACATGAAAATATTTCTCTCCAAAGAACCATTCTAGAGAACCCTTTCATACAAAGTGGTGTGTGTACATCTAAGAGGTTGCTCAGTTTAGCTCAAAGGCTGAAGAGTCTAGTAAACTGAGTTCCACCACGTCGTGACTTTTAAGTGGTAGGTTACCACCAGAAAGAGACGACTTCAAGCACAGATTTCTAGCAGCAAGGCCAGGATTAAAAACCCATGTGACAACCGGCTTCAGAGAGAGGAACAATCCATTCCTAATTCAAAGGCCATCAAGCCCGAGTTGTAAGAACATTTTTGACTCTGAGAATCTTCTCTTTTTACCAAGAAAATCCCTTACAGTCATGGTTTAACATCCTAAATTAAGGAACAGAAGAAACCAAATTAATTTTTAATTTATACTCCGCTTATACATGTTTTCAGTCATCCACCACTGCAGGATGTACACTGAACGGTACAAGTCATGTGCATCATTTTCATCAGACAACCTCATCTACCAAAATGGTGATAACACAATCTTATTTTGAAGCCAAAAGAGAGTTATAAACATCAATCGTTTTCAGATATGCTTTAAACATGTTCAAAAGTAACATCATTATTTTAAGTTATAGCACAATCATTAAAGGAAAAAAGAACCCAAGAACAAATGAAATTCGTTATTATTTTAGTTACTTTTAGTGGAAAAAATAAAACAAGATTTGGATTTTCAGCCAGGATAAAGTAAAAAGATTCTTGTCAGATGTCCATTTTCTCATTCATGAACTACTTGAGACTGTACTCCTGGGTCAGCTTATTTCTGCTTCTCCTGTCTCTAGACCTGTCTTAATTATATATATCTCAGGATCCATGACATAGATTTAAACAGACCCATGGGCAAATCTAAACACTGACCACACAGTGTCCAGTCTATTCATTTCTCTACAAAGTGTCAGAAATTCAACCTTTAGTAAGTAGAAGTTGATTCTACCTGAATTCCTAACATAACTAATAAAATATAGTTGCCTTCAATAAAATAAATGCCCAGATACTATTTTAAAGGATACAGCAAATCCCAGTCATACCTCTACCAAGGCTAACTATGCTGTACCTTAATCTGTTTGTTCTCAGAGCCAAAATCAGTGCTTCACCTAGATTCTCCTTTCCTAAAGAGTCTGTCAACTCAAAAGAAATGCCTAGTTCTTGATGCAGACTCATCATTAGTCAATCCTGGTCTTGGATATTCATGCTTCTAATAAGCATGATTGATAACAATCTTGCTAATAAGCAATAGTAATATCAATCTTGAATATTCATGCTTCTAATAAGATTGGAAGAATACCACTTGGGTACTTGCATATAACTACTAGTACCTACATCCTCCACTACTTACAAGCTAACAGTGCGTTTATCAATATTATTATTATTATTATTTTGAGACAGAGTCTTGTTATACTGCCCAGCCTGCAGTGCAGTGGTGCAATCATAGCTCACTGCAGCCTTGAACTCTTGGACTCACGTGATCCTCCTGCCTCAGTTTCTTGAGTAGCGTGGATGACAGGCTTGCACCACCACACCTGGCTAATTTTTTATAGAGATGGGGTCCTGCTATGTTGCCCAGGCTACTCTTGAACTCCTGGGTTCAAGTGATCCTTCTGCCTTGGCCTCCCAAAGTGCTGGGATTACAGGCATTAGCCACCATGCTCAGCCTAACAGTGCCTTTAAAAACCTCCTGGGTTACATTGAAAACCTTACTATCACATGTCAACTTATTTTGAAGCAAGTTAGCTAACAATTTAGAAAAGTCCTTGTAACACTTCTTGGTTCTCTCTACTGTTACTCAGTTTTCTGAAAACTTTAAGTAGAAGCAAGACCTTGGCAGCAAGATAAGTCATCACATGGTTCAATGTATACTTGTGCAATGGATCGTTTACCTATTATCTTGCACACTGCTCTCAATTATAACCTGAGAACCAGAAATTATCCCCTCACTTTATAAAAATACTGTTTTAAAAGATTATTTAACAGCATCATCTTTTTAAATCCATGTGTAACACTGAAAAACACTATAAATGTATTTTATCTCTCAGGGGTTAAAAAAAATCTGAGCTGTACTGAAGGGCATTTTCTGTTGCTTCTTCAGATCTTTTATATTAACATTTAAGCACAAATACCCTTTGTCAAGTGCTTTCAGTGCCAGGATCTGTGCTTATTCAAAGATAAAAACAAAAACAACCATACAATTCACAGCCTCTGCAGACCAAATCATAAATGTATTAACCAATAACACTGAATGCAAATTCAGGTAACCATATGAAACCTAGTGAAAAAAATGTGGTTCGTCTTTTGGAGGAGTTGTCTAAAAGGATCCAATCAATCACAACTTCCCTTTTTCTCTGCAATGATACACCAGTTACCATGATCATTTCCAGAACTCAGGATACGGAGCTCTGATACATTCTCCTTGAGCAGACTGCAGAGCTCCCCTTCTCGAAACACGTGGTAGTAGCGCATAAAGGCTCTGGAGTCCAAAAGATCAGGCTGTGGATCTTCGATAGACATTGTATCATCTGCGTTGGAATCTGTGGAACCGACTGCAGAAATCCTTCTCAATATTTTACTAGCAGAAGGATTATCATCTTCTAAGTTACCCGCATCCACACAATTCGCACTGGTATTAGTGCTATCCAGAAAACTCCCCCCTCCATTTCTCCTCATTTCTCCTTGATGGTCTCCATTTAAATGCTTCAGAGTGCCTGGTGCTCTCAGCCACTCTAAGTGTTTTCGAGAAGAAGATTCCACAAACACTTCCTCATCTAAGTTTTGCTCTTTTGTTGAAAATGGCTCTTGGTGATCAAAGTCTAAACTAGAGTGTCTGGAAGGCTGGACTGTTACAGTGCTATTGGCCCAAACTTCTGTGTTTTTCAAGGGTCTTACTCTTTCAATTTGCTTCCTCAGAGTTGACTCATCCAAAGACCTGGAGAAAAACCAGGAGCGAAATGATTTTCCTAATGTGTTGTAGAATCCATATTCTTCCTCTCCTTCCTTAGAAATATTTGCAAAACAAGTTCTTGCCATAGCAGGTTCATAGTCCACGCTGTGGGACCGTTTTGAACCACACTGCTCTTTAAAACAAACAGAACAGCTACACTCAGAGCAAGGAGGATGGTAGGGATGGCTTCTTTCTGAGTGTCCACACTGCCTCTTCCTCCCAGACTGGCTGGACTCTGAGAAGAGCTGGGAACACAGGGCCCTGTTCCATGGAACGAGCACGTCTTGCTTCTCAAAGCGACGGTTCTTTTGCTCCATTGCCCAAACGTAAATCATCAGCTGGCCTCCAGGAACCAAGACCCTGGCCATTTCTTTTATTGCTCTGATTCTTCTTTGTTTCGTAGAAAAATGATGTATGACTGAAAAAGACAAAACTAGATCTTACTGTGTATGCACACACATAAACCCACACACGTATATACTGGTGTTTACCACATAACAATGATGACATTTTGACATCTAGTAAAACCTTCTTATTTCCTCCATGGCAACGATGATGACAGAAATAGCACAGGCCTGATTTTAGGAGAGATATAAATTTTAGCTTTGGCTGCTGTACTTTAATATTAGATAGCTGATCTTGGGCAAGATATTTAAGTTCTATAGATTTTAACATGCTTCCTCTAAAATAAGAAGTCTAGAGTCCATAAATCCATAAAGTCTCTTCCAGTTCCAAAATACTACGGATTTTCTTAACCAGAAGGATGGCCAATGTGAATTACTAAAATTTGAAAGGGATATTAAGTGTTCCCAGGTTGAATTCTATGATGTAATTGAATGTTTTAATGAATACTTTGTACTTCTAAAGTAATAGCTGAGAAGTAGAGAAATATATTAAAGATTGTTTCTCTGTCTGGATAATGCAAAGATCAGCCAGCTCACCACAAGTCCAATTGATTGCTTATAACAAGATATAAAATAGTTGTGTCTATTAAAAAAATCAATGTCTATAGGTCATCATTTTACTTTCAATTTCTGCAAAGTCAAAATGAGCTTCAAGTAAGACTGCCTTTATTAAGTCATAAGTGTGTTATTAGGCATAATTTTATCCACCAATAGACAGAAAGTGCTAGTCTGTTAGTTCTTGAGGGAGTGTAATCACAGTACTGTGTCAAGAGAAAACTTCAAATTATTTTTTCCTACACAGACCTACCAATATATCAGGGAGGAAATTAATCTCAAGCAAAGTTTCTTGTTTTGATATGAGTTGTGAGGGCAGAGATAGAGGCTGAAAGGGTTGCTCTAAGGGTCAAAATAATCCAACTGTTAGTGGTGATTTTAGGCAAACTAATCTTCGTAGTTTACCTGCCACAGAGATATATTAAATATCAAAAATGGGGTTTGTGTACAGATCAAACTAGTAAAGAAATATCACTCAACAGATACATTTTGTATTGTTAGCAATCAAGTTTTCATTCCTATCCACAGCACACGAACTTTGGTATCTCTACCATGCAGCAATGTAAGAAAGCCAGAGGTGTGAGGGTAAAATGGGTTTGAAGAAAAAGACACCAGTGTATTTTATTCTGCCAGATTTTTTTTGGTAACTAGTTTTGTGATCTTTGACCAATCACTCCATCCACCTGGCCTCAGACTGCCGCCACCCACCCCCCAAAAGAAGAGTCCTTTAAAATGGCTCATTTGAAAGCAAACCTTTCTAGAAGTAGAGTCCTGATTACTAAGCTAAGGAGGTATAGGAGTCGGGACTGAGAAAGACTCAATCCACTGCTAATGCTCACAGTTATCCGTGGTTACTAAGGGCCATTAATGTCTCCCATGCCACGTGCAGTGGCTCATGCCAGTAATCCCAGCACTTTGGGAGACTGAGGTAGGTGGATCACTTGAGGCCGGGAGTTTGAGACCAGCCTGGGCAACATGGCAAAACCCTATCTCTACAAAAAAATACAAAAAAATTAACTGGGCGCAGTGGTGTGTGCCTGTAGTTCCAGCTACGCAGGAGGCTGAAGTGGGAGGATCATTTGAGCCAGGGAGGTCGAGGTTGCAGTGGGCCATGATCATGCCACTGCAGTTCAGTCTGGCCAACAGAGTGAGACACTGTCTCAAGTATCCCCCATATGTATGTATGTATCTCCCATAACTTGCACCTAATTCACTTTAGAGCTTCTTCTATGGGTATATTTTCTAAATACAATCCATCTTCATTATTCATGGATTTTGTGTTTGCAAATTTGCCCACTTGATAATCAATCGCCCCCAAATCAATACTCCCCAAATTGTAATCCCCCAAATCAATACTCCCAGACTTTCATGGTCATTCACTGACGAATGCAGAGGGTCAACGCGAGCCTCTCAATGCACGTATTCCCAGCTGAGATGAAACAAAGCAATGTTCTTCCTTCTGATTTCAACTCTAATACTGTAAATAAGGGTTATTTTTGTGATCTATTTTGTGCCACATTTTCTGCATGTTTGTGCTTCTTGTTGGTGATTTTGCTCTTTGAAATCGCCTCCAAACATAGTGGTGAGGTATTACCTAGTGCTCCTAAGCCCTGGAAGACTGTGATGTGCCTTACGGAGAAAATATATGAGTTAGATAACTTCATTCAGGCCTGAGTTGCAGTGCTGTTGGCATGAGCCTAAGATCAAATAAACTGTCTTTAAACAGAAACACACATAAAACAAGGCAATATATTGTTCAGCTGACAAAAATGTTGTGACCAGAGGCTCACAGAAACTCAATCCTGTATGCCTCTTGGGATTCTATATTCCACTGAATTTATTAATTCAGTGTTCACAGAGACTTTATAGAACATTACTACTGTAGATAATGATAATTGACTGTATTTTTTGGGGGGTGGTATAAGACCAAAAAAAAAAAACCATTAAAATGGGACTATTTTAATAAAATGGTCTCTTCAGTAGACTCGTACATCAACATTCAGAATTTTATTGGGCTTCAAAGTAGGTTTTTTTCTTTGTTTTCATTTTTGTTTTGAGACAGGATCTTGCTCTGTCACCCAGGATGTAGTGGCTCCATCTCAGCTGGCTGCAGCCTCTGCCTGCTGAGTTCAGTTGATTTTCCTCTCTCAGCGTTCTGAGTAGCTGGGACCACAGGTGTATACCACCACACCCAGCTAATTTTTGTAATTTTTGTAGAGATGGGGTTTCGCTGTGTTGCCCAGGCTGGTATCGAACTCCTGAGCTCAAGCCATCCTCCCACCTCAGCCTCCCAAAGTGCTGGGATTACAGGCATGAGCCACCATGCCTGGCCAAGTTGTTTTTTTAAACAGAAAGTCCTTATTTATTCGTTTATTAATGCCTGAGTGACAATTCCTTTCCAATCAGATGTAATACTGTAATTTCACCCAGGAATATCAGTCTTTTATATTATGTTTTATATTTAAAGTGTAATAAGTAACAGCCTTTAAACCAAATGTTCTTAAGAAAAAAATAGCTGGCTGGGATGGTGGCTCACACCTGTAATTCCAGCACTTTGAGGGGCTGAGGTGGGCGGATCACTTGAGCTCAGGAGTTCAAGACCATCCTGGGCAACATAGTGAAACCCCATCTCTACCAAAAAAAAAGATTAGCTGGGTGTGGTGGTGTGTGTCTGTGGTCCAAGCTCCTCAGGAAGCTGATGTGAGAGGATCACTAGAACCCAGGAGGCAGATGTTGAAGTGAGCCAAGATCACGCCACTGTACTCCAACCTGGGTGACAGAATACGACCCTGTCTCAAAAAAAAAGAAAAAAACAAAAATCCTACAAATGATTACTTCTTTACATGTTAAATGCATTAGACATGCATACACATGCATGTTCTATTAAGAAACATTGTAAATGTATCAAAAATGGGAAGTGAGAATATATTTACCTGAAATATCAATGTCTGGAAACTATGTTGAATTTTTTAAAGTCCTTTTGTTTAAAAAAATCATAATTACAACTTAAAGGCAAAAGTAGTACTCAATATATGTATCCTAAAGCAGTATTTTCCTGCTGAGAGCCCAGACAGTAGGTAGGTTGAATTCAATTACTGGATTTCAGATTCAGATGAGAAGTTACACACGATCTCCTTTAATGTCTTGTTCCATCTTGATATTTTATCATTTGTTTACATTTAACTTTTCAAGTGTACATGCCTCGCTTCTCTAACCTTCAGCATTCAGAATCTGCAGGTTTAGCGTAAAGCAGGCTTTTTTTAAACATCAGTACTATTGACATTTTGGGCTAGATGATTCATTTTTTTGTTTTTGTTTTTGTTTTTGTTTTTTGAGACAGAGTCTTGCTCTGCCACCCAGGCCGGAGTGCAGTGGTATGACTTGGCTCAATGCAACCTCCACCTCCCGGGTTCAAACAATTCTCCTGCCTCAACCTCTCAAGTAGCTGAGACTACAGGCATGCGCCACCATGCTCGGCTAATTTTGTACTTTTAGTAGAGATGGGTTTCACCATATTGGCCAGGCTGGTCTTGAACTCCTGACCTCGTGATCCACCCGCCTCAGCCTCCCAAAGTGGATAATTCTTTATTGTGGGAGCCCATGTACTAGATGACATTACACATACACACATCCAGTTGTGACAATTAAAAATGTCTCCAGACATTGCCCATGTCTCCTGGGGAAAGGGGGAAGGCGCAACATAACCCCCAGTTGAGAAGCACTAGCCTGAAGGGCATCGTTGATTGCTGCTATGTTAATATGCCACCACATTTCCCTAGGATGTTTATCAGACTATTCCAAAGGTAAGTAAAACGATGCTTCTTTTTCTAATCCACCAGTAAATGAAGGCATAACTAGGTATGATGCTTAGCTCACATTATCATTATTAAAAGATATGGAAAAGCAAACATATATATACATATATATTTCTTCCTGTTAAGCAGGAAGTGCCAACATATAGAATTTTAAATAGAGAAGTAAATATATAGGGACATACGAGAGACAGTCTATTGAAATTTCTCATACTATACTTTCTTGTATATGTTATTCATATTTATATATTTATTTATATATATTTCTTATAATATAGGTCCCTATATATGTAATAGGAGAATTTCAGTAGACTCTCTCTCTTATGTCTCATACAGTCATATATGCACACTCACACATATATATTTTACCTTTTATATTTATATATGTTGTGTGTGTGTGTGTGTGTGTGTGTGTGTGTGTGTGTGTGTGTATGTTTTTTAGGGACAGGGTCTCACTACGTTGCCCAGGCTGGACAAAAACTCCTGGGCTCAAACGATCCTCTCACCCCAGCCTCTCAAAGTAGCTGGGACTACAGGTGCCTGTCACCATGCCTGGCTGCTGTAATATAGTTCTAAATGTGAAATCTAACTGAAAATAACCACATCACATTAATTCATAGTTACAGATCATACAAACGTGTGCTGTTTTTCCACTCAAGGAAGCATTTTAAATTCGAAGATGGTAACTAGGTGTACTCCATTTTCTCTGAGGGCAAGGCATGAGATGTAAACTGAAAATAGAGAAGGATGGAGCCAGATATGCATGGAGCATTTCCTAAGCATAAGAAAGCTGGTCTATATCCCCTTCCTTCACCAGTGGCTCCATGGCATGGTCTGGATGTAGGTGGCTTTGCAGACTAAAATGAATTTAGCCTGAGCATGGTGGCTCATGCCTGTAATCACAATGCTTTGGGAGGCCAAGGCAGGTGGATTGGTTGAGCCCGGGAGTTCAAGACCAGCCTGGACAATATGGCAACCCCATCTCTACAAAAATATTCAAAACAATTAGCCAGGCATGGTGGTGTGTGCCTGTAGTCCCAGCTACTTGGGAGGCTGAGGCAGGAGGATAACCTGAGCCCAGGAGGTCAAGGCTGCCACAGCACTCCAGCCTGGGTGATAAAGTAAGACCTTGTTTCAAAAAAATAAAAAACTCTTGAATCATTAAAAAATCCAATAACAATTTGAAGGTTTAAATAGTTAAAAGGAAAAAAAGTAAAATGAGTGTAGACAAAAGAAAAGCAGAGTCCACACATTTATCTGACTTTCTAATTTAATTTAATTTAATTTTTATTTTATTTTATTTTATTTTATTTTATTTTATTTTATTTTATTTTATTTTTGGAGATGGAGTCTCACTCTGTTGCTTAGGCTGGAGTGCAGTGGCGAGATTTCGGCTCACTGCAACCTCTGCGTTCCGGGTTCAAGCAATTCCCTGCCTCAGCCTCACAAGTTGTTGGATTACAAGCACCTGCCACCATGTCCAGCTAATTTTTGTATTTTTAGTAAAGACGGGGTTTCACCATCTTGACCAGGCTGGTCTTGAACTCCTGACCTCGTGATCCACCCGCCTCGACCTCCCAAAGTGCTGGGATTACAGGTGTGAGTCACCGCGCCTGGCCCATTTCTTTGACCTTTCTCCAATTTCTAGTTAAGTGGAATGATCAAACCAAAACCTTTTTCCACTAAAGATTCAAAGCATTGTATAGTGTTGCTTAATTCAACAAGGTTTTCTCCTGGTTATAGACTGAATGCTTGTGGCCCCCAAGACTCATATGTCGAAGTCCTAACCCTGAGAGTGAACGTATTAGGAGATCAGAACTTTAGGAATTTTAGACAAAGTCATGAGAGTGGGCCCCCATGATGGGATTAATGGTCTTATAAGAGAGACCAGAGAGCTTGCGCGCGCTCTCTCTCTCTCTTTCTCTTCTTCTCCTTCCAGTCTCCCGCTACATTCCACGTGATGATACAGCAATAATTAAGCCATCTGCAAGCTGGTAGGAGGGTCCCTACCAGAACCTTACCCTGCTGGCACCCTGATCTCAGATGTGCAGCCTCCAGAACTGTGAGAAATAAATGTCTGTTGTTTAAGTCAAGTCTATGGTATTTTGTTATAGCAGTCTGCAAAGGCTAAGACAATCTTCTTTATGCTTACAACCAAAATGGATCTAACAGTTTCAACTGCAAACGAGGCTATCAGAGAGCAAGTTTCCATGGCAACCATCTCTTGCCAGTCCTTACTAGTTCCAAGGTTATGGCTTCTAGGCAGCCTCCCCTCACCATACGAAGAAACAGTCCCCACCTAATGTTGGATTAATCAATCTTTCATGTATTTTAGGAAAAAGAGCAAATCATCTTATTCTGCATTTTTGTCCTGAATAACTCCATTTTACAAAAGATCATCTTTCTTGGATAAAACTTGTTACTCAAATAGGTTGATTTTTTTTTTTTTTTTTTTTTTTGAGATGGAGTTTCACTCTGTCACCCAGGCTGGAGTACAGTGGCACGATCTCAGCTCACTGCAACCTCTGCCTTCCCAGTTCAAGCGATTCTCCTGCCTCAGCCTCCTGAGTAGCTGGGACTACCTGCCTCAGCCTCCTGAGTAGCTGGGACTATAGGCGCTGGCACTATGCCCAGCTAATTTTTGTATTTTTAGTAGAGATGGGATTTCACCATGTTGGCCAGGCTGGTCTCAATCTCCTGACCTCTTGATCCACCCACCTTGGCCTCCCAAAGGGCTGGGATTACAGGCGTGAGCCACCGCACCCAGCCAAATAGGTTAATTTTTAAGAGTGTATTGGGACAAGTAATTTGCTTTGCAAAAGATTTTTCCATTGCAAAACAAACAAAAAAACCTTGTCATAGGATTCCTTTAAATATCAAGTTTCCCTGTATATTTAAACATGGCAGGTGTCATGTATTCTTTACCTGCGTGTATTTCATGCATGGATTTTTTTTTCCCCATTTTTTGGCATGTGTGTTTTCTGGTCACACCCTTTGGGAAGATATGCAAAACACATTCCCTAGACTCATGAACAATCTCCGGCAGTATATGAGCAGAGTGGCATTATAAAAACAATGCCATCCAAGACCAGATGGGACATACCTTCTCCCTGAACCTGACTGCCCGTGAGTGGCAGATTGGTCCAGGTGACATTTGGTGTGTGAGCCCTAGAATTCTCTGCTATCAAAGGCCACTATTTTGGCCTAAAAAATGGTAACATAACTTCTAAAAATCTACTTTGCTTTGCATGAATCTGGCTTCATTTAAATATAATGAAGTGCTGTTTTCAATGAGTAAGATTCCTTTTATCCTTTCTTACTCATAAATAAAAGAAATTGGAATGAATCATAAAAAAACTGCAATGACAATTTGAAGGTTTAAATAGTTAAAACAATCATATGTGCCATAAATACATTTTGGAGTTGAGTCAAATCACTCAAGTAGTTGAAACAATTATTTTAAATAATTGTTTAAAATAAATTACATTGACATTTCTACACAGAACAGATGGTGAGTCATGAGAACAGACTAAACCATGTCAATTATTCTCATGGCAAAGGGTGAATGTGTGATCGGCTGCCTTACCTCCTATGGAGATGACGGCATCGAAGCCCTCATCCCTAAAGGGGAGATTAAGGTTGTCACATACCATGGCTTCACATCCTCTATCCCGGGCAATCTCTACCAGTGGCCCACAGTAGTCACAGCCCACGGTATGTACCTGGCTGTTCACTTTAAGATACTTTCCAGTCCCACAACCTATAAGAGAAAAACCTGCATTACATGCTGTCCTCAATGGAAAGTGTGAAATAGTTCATTTGTCTCATAACAAGAAATATAATTAACTTTTTTTTTTTTAATTTTTTGAGACAAAGTCTCGCTCAGTCACCCAGGTTGGAGTACAGTGGCGCGATCTTGGCTCACTGCAACCTTTGCCTCCCGGGTTCAAGCAATTCTCTTGCCTCAGCCTCCCGAGTAGGTGGGATCATAGGCGTGTGCCACTGTGCCTTGCTAATTTTGTATTTTTCATGGAGACGGGTTTCTCCATGTTGGTTAGGTTGGTCTTGAACTCCTGACATCAGGAGATCCACCTGCCTCGGCCTCCCAAAGTGCTGGGATTACAGGCTTGAGCCACTGCGCCCGGCCAACTTTTTTTTTTTTTTTTTTTTTTTAACTAACCAAGACAGAATACAACATGGTGTGAAGATATTCACAAAAATAAAAGTCTTCAGCGAATACTTACATATTCTCATATAGAAGAGAGAAAGGCCATAGGAAAAAAATAACATTTATTGAATATTTAATGAGGTAATGTCCACAGGGCTCAGTACACTAGTGCAACCAAGGCACGTTAGCTGATCCATGGCAAGAAAGGTAGTTCTAGTACCCCAGAGACCGTGTGCAGCCTCTAAGCTCACATCCATATTTCATTGTATATACACGCATGTTACGGCCTTTATTCTCCTGTTGTCCCTCCAAAGATTCTTACCACTTGCTGACTGCAAAACAAACTGTCAACAACTTTTCAATTATTTATACACTAAAACATGCCTTTCAACTTTTAAAAATTTGAACTTGAATTAGAAAAGCATTTTTAACATTGTTTTTATCCAATCTCTATTCATTGCTACATTTAAAATGATCTCTATGGGCCCAGTATACAACTTAGATTATAAAAACTACTTTTTTTTTCTTAAATAGACAATTTTTGATATTCACTTTCCAGTGGAAAAGACCTAAATAATTCAGGATTTACAAAGCCCAAAGGTTTAGATCATTGAGGTCTTACTGATGTTATGGTTGAAGAAGGTAATAACATGAATGAATAACCACCTTGAAACAAAGCCTTCTACAATCGAATACTTTATATTATATTCTATCACAGATATATAATCTAATTCCTTTCCAGAAATATTAAAAGAAACCATTAGAGCCTATATTTGTACCTATTGACATTACCTATACAATTTTTCTACCTGAAAAAATATCTATCACTATTCAAAGATGATTAGCTTGCTGCTTCTGAAATACATCAGGACACTGCAACCTCTGCCTCCCAGACTCAAGCGGTCCTCCTACCTCAGCCTCCCAAATAGCTGAGACTACAGGCATGTGCCACCATGCCCAGCCAATCTTTTTTTTTACTGTTGTTGTATTTTTTGTAGAGATGGAGTTTCACTATGTTGTCCAGGTTGGTCTCGAAGTCCTGAGCTGAGTGATCTGCCCGCCTCGCCTCCCAAAGTGCTAGGATTACAGGTGTGAGATACCGCTCCCGGCCTATTTGTAGTGTAATTTGTAGTGGCAAAATACAGCAAACGACATATATTAAATGTTAATATGGCATTATTAGCACAGAGTGCTAGGCAGCTTTTAATACTGGGTAGCTCTATAAAAAAATAAATATGGAATGATTTCCTCAATATATTAAAAGTATAACAAAAGCTAGGAGTATAATTAATAGTATACTACCATTAGTGTAACCAAAAAAAGGGAAAATACCCATCACACACTCACAGGCACAAATACGCTTATATTTACATAAAACGTCTCAAAAAGATCATGCAAGAAGCTAATAGCATCAGAGGCCTCTGGTGTGGGTTGCTTGGTGCCAGTGACCGGGATGGGAGAAGATTTTACACTACGCATTCTTTTGTGCTTTGTTGCTGAACCATATCGGTGGGTTACCTATTAAAATACTTTTACACATTTTGAACCACTTGTTCTCATCCTTTAACTATTTTTCTTGTGACTTGATGGTATTTTTCCTTTTTTTTCTTTTGAACTTATTCCTTCTGTTTGATACTCTGAACATTTTAACCAACATCTTGCCATTTCCTACACCTACCACACCTGCTTTGACACCCCAGCCCCAGGTAACCACCATTTTAATCTCTCCTTCTATGAGTCCCACTGTTTTAGATCCCACATATAAGTGAGATTACGGGGTATTTGTCTTTCTGTGCCTGGCTTATTTCACATAGCATAATATCTTCCAGGTTCCTCCGTGTTGTCGCAAATGACAGGATGCTGATCTTTTTTTTTACAGTGACATTGAAGAATGCTTTTTTATCAGCCGGGCGCAGTGGCTCACGCCTGTAATCCCAGCACTTTGGGAGGCCGAGGCGGGCAGATCACGAGGTCAGGAGATTTGAGACCATCCAGGCTAACAGGATGAAACCCCGTCTCTACTAAAAATACAAAAAATTAGCCGGGCGAGGTGGCGGACGCCTGTAGTCCCAGCTACTCGGGAGGCTGAGGCAGGAGAATGGCGTAAACCCGGGAGGCGGAGCTTGCAGTGAGCCGAGATCGCGCCACTCACTCCAGCCTGGGCGACAGAGCGAGACTCCGTCTCAAATAAAAAAAAAAAAAAATTATCTAGATTTCTATGACATATGTTGCAGATCTTTTTACTTAGTTTGATTTTGGTCTTTTGACTTGAATTGTATGTCTGTCTACATTTTTGTCTTGTGGAACTTTTCCATTTTTATAGGGTCAAAGTTATCCGTCAATACAGTTAATCCTCATCAATTACAGCTTCCATATTTGCAGTTAATCTACCTGCTGAAATTTATTTGTAACCCCAATGTCAATACTACAGCACTGCATGGACATTATCAGACTTATATACTCACAGTGCAGCAAAATATTTGAGTCACCTGAGACCCACATACCCAACCTCCTTTTTTCAGCTCCCATACTGTAATCGTGTGTCCTTTCCATAATCTATTTAGGGCCACGATTTCTCCATTTTTACAGTTTTTACTGGTGATTTTGCTGTTTCAAAGAGCCTAAGCCTGGGGCTGAAATGCCGTCTAGTGTTCCTGAACATAAGAAGGCTGGGATGTCTCTGATGGACAAAATATATGTGTTAGATAAGCTTTGTTCAGGAAAGAGTTATAGTGTGTTGGCCATGAGCCTAATGTTTATGAAATAATGATACATAGTAATCAAGGTGTCTTTAAACAGAAGCACAAATGCAACAAGCTTACACATTGGTAAATTGATAAAAATGTTGTGACCCAAAGCTTACAGGAGCCTAATCCAATATTTCCCCTATGAGTAATGATTCAGTATTTGCCATTTCAATGCTTATGATACATATATGAAATGTAAGTACTGTGAATAATGGCAATGAACTGTATATTCTTTTATGATTTCTTTTTGTATGTGTATCATACATAGGCATTTTGCCTCTGAGAATATTTTAAATAACAATCTAGTTGTCATCTAGTCCTTTAATGAGCGCATTTCCTTATACTTAAATCTTTGCTTCATTTGGAATTTATTTTGATGTAAGGTGTGAGAAAGTAACTCTCTGATTGTATATGTCGTTATCCCAAAGCCATTTACCTAATAGTTCCTTTTCCCCACTGATTTTAAGATCCTGGTACGTGGCTTACTTACATTAACAGGTGGTAATAGATCCAAACTCACTGCACATTCTGAAACTAGATTTATTATTTTTTAAATTACATGGTAGAGATATTTTTCAAAGACTCCCAATTTCCATGTGACCTGCACCCCTTCCCCAGATTCCACATTACTCATACCATCTTCAGCAAGTCACAAGTTCCAGTATGTCTGTTTCTCTTACCAGTATTTAGAGTGAATATCAAACTAGACAGACTTTGCAACTACAGACTTAACGACTCATGGGTGCAGTCAGCATGCAATTGTTAGAATGCAGTTTTAGGTGGGCAGGCCTTGCATGAGATTCCAACCACAACTTAAGTCTTAGTCCTAGATCTACTAAGCTGTGGTTTACCAGTTCTTGATTTAGGAGGATGCTGAACCAATGTCCTCCAGACAAATAAGCTATTATGAAAATACTGTCTAATTAAAGATATGCTCCTATAATGAAACACCTACAGAATAATTAAGGGAAAGGACCCATGAGATTCATAAGGCATTACTGGACCTCTTGCATAATCTCACAATTCTATAGAAGGCATGTGAACCACTCAAAGTGAGCCACCAGCGGTGAACACATTTGGCAAATGTGAAGGTCTTTAAATTTACAATGGTCAGTTTCACAAGCCATCATTTCCATCCTAATTTATTCAATCAATGTTAGGTCCGTTTTGGTGGAGGATGTACACAAAGGCCCTGAAAAGTCACTGTCTAAAGTTTGAGGCCAGACATGGTGGCTCATGCCTGTAATCCCAGCACTTTGGGAGGCCAAGACAGATAGATCACCTGAGGTCAGGAGTTCAAGACCAGCCTGCCCAACATGGCAAAACCCCGTTTCTACTAAAAATACAAAAAACAGCTGGGCATGGTGGTGGGCACCTGTAATCACAGCTATTGGGAGGCTGAGGCAGGAGAATCAGTTGAACCCAGGAGATGGAGTTTGCAGCAAGCTGAGATTGCACCACTGCACTCCAATCTGGCTGACAAGAGTGAAACTCCATCTCAAAAAAAAAAAAAAAAAGAGTTTGAGAAAGTTTTTTACTTGCTGCTGACTTGACTGTCTGAGTTTCTGCTGTAAAATGAATATTCTAGGTACTGGCATGCCAAGGGTACAATTTCAGGATTCTTATTAGAACAAAAATAAAAAATGAATCTGAAAAGCAAAGGCTCAATGGAAGATATTTCATGCTGCATGGCCCAACAGTGGGTTACCTATGTCTGCGATGATGCTGCCTGGCTTCTGTTCTTGGAGGAACTGGCGGACACGAGGCCACGCTTTGCTCTGCAGGTCACTGAAGTAAGGGGCTGTGCTCTCGTACACGTTGTGCACATGCTGCTTCTCCAGCTGGGCGGCTTCATGATCCATCCTGGGGAAAACAGGACCAACCCAAGGCATGCAGGTCAGCCTATGCACCATAGGTGACTGAAGGAGGATGCATATTTCCCAAACTTTGGAACCTACAACTGCAAAAGTCTTGCTGTTCACACACTTTCTTATAAGCTGCAAAGTACAATACCTTCACTGTAACCATCGTTGCCAAAAGACTAGCAAATGCACGGTTTTTACCTGCTATGTTAAGGAAAACAATGGTTTGAAAATGAGTTAATTATTATATAATAAGTTCCTGGACAAGATGAATTTTTTTTTTTTTTTTTTTTGAAGTGGAGTCTTGTTCTGTCGCCCAGGTTGGAGTGCAGTGGCACGATCTCTGCTCACTGAAAGTTCCGCCTCCCAGGTTCAAGCCATTCTCCTGCCTCAGCCTCCAGAGTAGCTGGGGCTACAGGTGCCCGCCAACACACCCGGCTAATTTTTTGTATTTTTAGTAGAGACGGGGTTTCACCGTGTTAGCCAGGATGGTCTTGATCTTGACCTCGTGATCTGCCCGCCTCGGCCTCCCAAAGTGCTGGGATTACAGGCGTGAGCCACCGCGCCCGGCCAAGATGAATTCTTAATTTTAGAAGCATAACCAAAATTCTTACTAAACGGTTTACTTTGGATAACACCATTGTATCTGATGCTAAATAGATTTCAAAATTTCATAACAGGTAGCTCACCATTTCAACCCAATAACGAAGCCCTATTAATTCTACCTTTTTAGCGTTTGGGTTCCAGTCATGTCTCTATATCACTACTGCTTTTATTTTAGTATAGGTGCCCATTTCTTTACTGAATTACTTCAACAGCTGGCAAACAGTTCTATTGCCCCTCAATTGCTTTTCCCAAGTTCAATTACGTCATAATTATTTTTGTAAAATATAGGACTGATTTTGTTGCTTCTCATTTATTTATTTTTAAGTTTTGTGGGTACACAGTAGGTGTATATATTTATGGAGTACATGAGACGTTTTGATACAGGGATGCAAGGCTCAATAATCACATCAGGGAGAATGGGGTGTCCATCATCTCGAGTATTTATCCTTTGTGTTACAAACAATCCAATATACTTTTTTAGGCATTTAAAAATGTACAAATAAATTATTTTTTTACTATAGTCACCTTGTTGTGCTAGCAAATACTAGGTCTTACTCTATTTTTTGTACCCATTAACCGTCTCCACTTCTCTCCCACTCCCCACTACCCTTCGCAGCCTCTCGTAACCATCCTTCTACTCTCTATATCCATGAGTTCAATTATTTTAATTTCTAGCTCTCATAAATAAGTGGGAACTTACGAAGTCTGTCTTTCTGTGCCTGACTGATTTCAGCTAACATAATGACCTCCAGTTCCATCCATATTATTGCAAATGACAGGATTTTTTTTTTTTTTTTGTGGAGTCTTGCTCTGTCACCCAGGCTGGAGTGTAGTGGCATGATCTCAGCTCACTGCAACCTCCACCTCCCGGGTTCACACCATTCTCCTGCCTCAGCCTCCCAAGTAGCTGGTACTACAGGCGCATGTCACCATGCATGGCTAATTTTGTGTATTTTTAGTAGAGAAGGGATTTCACCGTGTTAGCCAGGTTGGTCTCCATCTCCTGACGTCGTGATCCGCCTGCCTCGGCCTCCCAAAGTGCTGGGATTACAGGCGTGAGCCACCACGCCTCGCCCGGATTTCTTTTTTTTTTTTTTTTTTAAAGCTGAGAACTCCATTGTGTATAAGCACCACATTTTCTTTATCCATTCATCTGTTGATGGACAGTTAGGTTGCTTCCAAATCTTGGCTGTTGTGAATAGTGCTGTAATAAAACATGGGAGCATGGGTATCTCTTGGATATATTGATTTCCTTTCTTTTGGTTATATACCTAGGAGTGGGATTGCTGGATCGGAAGGTAGCTCTATTTTCGTTTTTTTGTAGAATCTCAAAACTGTTCTCCATAGTGGTTGTACTAATTTACATTCCCACTAATAGTGAATAAGGGTTCCCTTTTCTCCACATCCTCACCAGCATTTTTTATTGCCTGACTTTCAGAGAAAGCCCATTTTAATTGGGGTGAGATGATGTTTCATTGTAGTTTTGACTGGCATTTCTCTGATGATCAATGATGTTCAGCACTTTTTCATATACCTGTTTGCCATTTTTTATGTCTTCTTTTGTGAAATTGTCTATTCAGATATTTTGTCCTTTTTGTTTTTTATTTTATTTTATTTTATTGAGATGGAGTCTCACTCTATCACCCAGGCTGGAGTGCAGTGGCGCAATCTCAGCTCACTGTAACCTCTGTGGCCAGTTCCCCAGGCCATGAGCAGGTCTAGAGGTGCTGTCTGGGAGCCAGGGACTGGAGTCAAAAACCTTAGAAGTCTACTTGGTGTTCTATTGTACTGTGGCTGAGCTGGCGCTCCAGCCACGAGATGCAGCCCTTCCCACTCTTCCCTCCCCTTTCCAAAGACCCCTTCCCCACTGTGGCCAAGCTGGTACCTAAGGTGCAAGGCAAAGTCCCCTTTCCTTGTCCCTCCACTTCTCTTAAGCAGGAGTCTTGCCCCACAGCCACCACAGCTGGGAATGTGCTGAGTCTCATCTAGAGCCAGCAAGGCTCAGAGTCTCACCCAGGTCCACAGAGTACTACTTGGCTATCATTGCTGGTTATGCAGGGCCCAAGGACTCTTTAGTCAGAAGGTGATGGGTCCTGCCAGGACTAGCTCCTTCCCTTCAAGGCAGCAGGTTGCCTTCTGGCCCAGGGAGTGTCTAGAAATGTCATCTGGGAGGGAGAGCCTGGAAAGAGGGCCTCAGGACTCTGGTGGGCCCTATCTTACTGTAGCTGAGCTGGTATCCAAGATACCAGACAAACTCCTCCTTACTCTTCCCTCTCCTCTCCTCAAGCAGAAGGAAGGGCTCTCTTTTGGAGCCAGGAGCTGTGCAGCCTGGGTAGCGGGAGGGGTTGGTGCAAGCACTCTCTTAGCAGCCCTTGCTGGTGTCTCCATAGGTGGCCTTCCCTCCTCCCCACCTAGTCCACTGGCTCTGAGGCCAGTTCAGCAGGAGGACTCACCTAGGAGCCGTGGCCTAGACTGCCTTTCGAGTTTATTTAGTATCCCAGAGCCCTTTAGCCTACAGTGGTGAGGCCTGCAGGAACTCAAGTTCAGACTGCTGGGATCTGCAATTCCCCTCTGGCTAGGGCTGGTTTAAATGCTCCCTCTGTGGGCAGGTGTCAGCTGAGTTCAGCCCCATGGTTTTGCCTTCTACTGTGACAGGGCAGCACTGAGTTCGATACAGTGTTTCACAAACGCAGTGCTCTCCCGCCCCTAAGCGCAGATTCTCTCTCCATGCCACATGGCTGCTGCCAGGGGGTTGGAGGAGGGATGGCATGACCAATTCAAGAACATCTTTCTCACCCTCTTCAGTGCTTCCTTTAGTGATATGAAGTCAAAACCAGGCACTGTGAGTGCTCTCCTGATTTTTGGTTCTCATGTAGGTGCTTTTTTGTGTGTAGATAGGTGTTAACTTTGGTCCTTGTCGGGAGGGTGGCGGAGGGAGGACACACCATCAGTGGAGCCTTCCATTTGGCCATCTTACTCCACGCCACTCCCCTCAATTCTTACCTTCAACTTCTTCAGAGGCATTTTATAGCTTGTCCCATTGGATTCAGCTGGCTTAGGCGGGCACATAAGGCTCTTTCTGATCTAGCCTCACCAGACCTCTTAAGGGTCATTTCTCACCATCTTTCCTCAGCATTAGCCTTAATACCCAATGACCCATTGTTTCTCAGCGGTGACACGTTCCTTCTCATCCAGGGGCCTGAACAGATGCTATACTTTACCTGGCTAAATTCTAGTCACTCTTGGAAAAGGCATCGCCTCCTCTAGGAAGGCTTTCCTGACCTTCCAGGCAGGATAAGGGCAACAGGGAAGGAGTAAGAAAAGCATGAGAGCAGGTCCCATTTTGGGCTTAACTGTGTAATTACTCTATTCTATTTTGGCATGTGAGTGAGTGCTAGCCCAGGGAAGTGGCCAGGGGCCCAGGTTGTGGCTTTTACCAATCAGTAGGAAAGTATTTTCAATCATTTAATAACCCATTTGGCCCTACTGATGGCTATCAGCTATTGCATCCCATGCATACCTCTATAGGGATCACAGAGTCCTGTAATCGTTGAATTCAGATAAGATATTTTTCTCTGGCAGAATCCGCTGGAAGACTCTGGAGAACAAGGACTTGTCCTATTTAATACTGAGTTCCCAGCACTTAGGACGCAGCAGACCGTCAGCAAATGATCAAATAAACACACATCACGGGAATGGAATCTGGCTCTGAGTACAGAGGGTAGTACTGGCTTTGGTTAGCAGAGGGACTGATCTCTCTGAGGAGCTGGGGAAGGGAGGGGACCCGACACCTGCAAAGTAGGCAGATGGGAGTGTAACTAGAGAGAAGGTACCGTCCCTGGACAGCCTCTGTCCCCACACCTCTACCCCTGTCCTGGGAAGTGGGAAGTACTTGGGTAAGATGGTGTCTGCCAAGTTACTTCCCTGTATGGAGAGAGACTTTCAGACTATGCAAATACTGTTTCTTATTTGCTCACCCGCCAGTTTTAGCATCTACCAATGATTCTTGCCCTAATTATTACGACAAGTATCACCAAATGATGATAATATAATTCCATCATTCCTTCCGTTTCAAGGAAGAGCTATTCAGGATTTACTCTTAAAATGTAATAGGTTGTCTTTAATCAGTATGAACCAACCCACAGCCCCTGCAAAAAATTCTAGCAAACTCCTGAATATAAATCTAATTTGTGAGGTTTGACAAAACTTCCACCCAAATTGAAACAGCTTATGTTGCACCTTCAACTGAAATTTACAAAGTAAACATATGGCTGGCTAGAACTGCCCACACAAGAGAAAAACAGAAACACTATGTGCTTTTCATTTAAATCAAAATCTCAGTAGATTTTAGTCTATTTACATTTCCCCTTCCTCAAGGAATCAATCAAGCAATAC